ACTGAAGTCAACAACAAAGGGCTAAAAGCTCTCTCATCCTCCAAGCAACGAGGAATCAAGTCAAGTACGAAGCACGAACTCGAATGGGGCGAGATATTCCGACGTCGCTTTGTCACCTGAAAACACAAACGTGAGTTAGCCGGCGGGTGTGTGCCGGAAACCTCTCCGATGCCTAAGTCAGTAAGCTTGACAAATAGACAAAGTTTTATGTTCTCAGAAAGAATTGTGTTCAATTACCTCCTCCAAGGTGGTGCTTGTGAGCTTTTATAGGTTTCGAGTGGCATAATCCTAGTAGGACTTTTATTTCTCCATGCAGAGTCCTCCTAGGATTCATACTCCTAAGGATAATGCTTATCCTTTTACACCCTCCCCCACTGCTTAAACCAAGTGGGATGGTTTCCACTTTGGCCGAACTACTATATGACCGAAATAAGCTTGGCTATGCAGAGCCACAGAGAAGGCCGAACTGTCCTTAGCTCGGTCTTCTCCTCCAACTCCTTATCTCGGCTTTCCCCTGTTCAACCATGGTGTGTTTAGATCAAACTTTCAAGTGGCAAGTTCTGACCGACCTAACCATAATATGTCACGACCGGACTAAATGCAAGGCCGGACTCACTTCAAACTGCCACCGGACCGGAGTTGCTTTACACATTCTCGAACCGGAATAACCACACCTCTCCTGGACCGGTATAACTTCACTTCTTTTGGGCCGGAGTATCTATACCTCTACTGGGCCGAAATAACATTACGGCTTCTTACCGATTCCTTCACACTTTGGGCCGCAGGGCCCAACTCACAGCTCGGCCCAATTCTTTCCCAAAAATTACCCTCCTATAAGCTGTTAAGGTATAAGATATAATCACTTTCTCACAGTTCTACCAAACGGAGCCATTATGTGCTGAATGATTAAAAATATTAACTATTCCCAGACTTTTGATGCCATATTCTACCGCCTAACGGTGTGAATGCTCATGATTATTTCTATTTTAGAAATAATTTATAAGGAATGGGAGTTAAAAAAAATAAATAAATAAATAATATAAGGAAATGTTATAGTACGCATTCAAAAAAAGGTGCAAATTGTAAGAATAGTAATGATTTTT